GACATGGGATTCAGGTGTCGCATTCCGTGTGTCAAGCCACTCTTGAACATGAAACAGCGCAAGAAGCGTCTCGCCTGGGCCAAGGACAAAAAGGACTGGACTGATGCTGAGTGGTCCAAAGTTATGTTTTCTGATGAAAGCAAGTTCTGCATTTCCTTTGGAAATCAAGGACCCAGAGTCTGGAGGAAGAGCGGAGAAGCACAGAATCCACGTTGCATGAGGTCCAGTGTAAAGTTTCCACCGTCAGTGATGGTGTGGGGTGCCATGTCATCTGCCGGTGTTGGCCCACTCTGTTTCCTGAGGTCCAGGGTCAATGCAGCCGTCTACCAGGAAGTTTTAGAGCACTTCATGCTTCCTGCTGCTGACCAACTTTATGGGGATGCAGACTTCACCTTTCAACAGGACTTGGCACCTGCACACAGTGCCAAAACCACCAGCACCTGGTTCAAGGACCATGGTATCCCTGTCCTTGATTGGCCAGCAAACTCGCCTGACCTTAACCCCATAGAAAATCTATGGGGTATTGTGAAGCGGAGGATGCAATACGCTAGACCCAACAATGCAGAGGAGCTGAAGACGACTATCAGAGCAACCTGGGCTCTCATAACACCTGAGCAGTGCCACAGACTGATTGAGTCCATGCCACGCCGCATTACTGCAGTTATTGAGGCAAAAGGAGCCCCGACTAAGTATTGAGTGCTATACATGCACATTCTTTTCATGTTCATTCTTTTCAGTTGGCCAACATTAGAGAAACAAACATTTTTTCATTGGCCTTTAGAATATTCTAATTTTCTGAGATACCAGATTTGATGTTTTCATTGGTTGTCACCTATAAATATCAAAATTAAACGTAATAAACATCGGAAATACATTGGTCTGTGTGCATTGCATGAATATAATGTACAAGTTTCACGTTTTGAATGGAATTACTGAAATATTTTCAACCTTTTGATGATATTCTAATTTACTGGCCAGCACCTGTATTTCTAGATGGTGACTTCTCTTTATTGTTAAAGGTTCCAGAAATGTTGTAGGACTTTGACTTTTAGAGGTTCACTGTTTTTTTCCACACATCTGCACTGGTCTTAGTATGAATGAATGCCATGTGAGTTCATCTCTTTGGGGGACAGCGCTGGTGCTCTTGATTCAGGAACGAGAAGAAAAGGCAGGATGTGGAGTTGTACTGATATGCCGGCATCTGCCTCTGATTGGCTGAAGGCCATCCTTCAAGTATAAAAACAGCAGGAGACAGCCAATTTCTTTATGTCCCCTCAAAAAATGACTCTGATATTTTACTGTTTGTTTATTTTAGAGCAGCTGAGTACACCTTGCGGAGATTTTTTTATTTTCGAAAACCAACGAATGATGGAATGTGGTGTCAGAGACGTGGAAACACTACATGGATGTTTTTACTACATATTATTACAACAATAAACCAGCAAAGGTAAGACTCAATTAATGCTTCTGACCGAATGAAATTAGCTTTGTTTATTTTCTGTGCTGAGTTTGCATCCATCCATGTTCGGACGCTCATCCGCGGTTGGGTCGCGGGGGCAGTAGCCTAAAGCACAGACTTCCCACCCCGGCTACTTGGGCCAGCTCCTCCGGGGGAATGCTGAGACGTTCTCTGGTGGATTTACATGTTTTGGTGAACATTAAACATGGTAAATGGCCTGTATTTGATACAGCGCCTTCTAGAGTCCTGGAACCCCCAAGGCACTTTACAACACAATCAGTCAATCACCCATTCACACACACATTCACACACTGGTGGGCACACTGACAGAGGCGAGGCTGCCCAGCACTGGCGCCACCAGTCCCCCCCGACCACCATCAGCAGGAAAGGGGGGTTTAGTGTCTTGCCCAAGGACACAATGAAAGTGACAAACTGAGCGGGTCTCGAACCTGCAACCTTCCCATGGAGCACTTAACTCCTGTGCTACCGTCACCTCCAAACATGTTTTGGAACAATTTCGCTGCTACCAGACCCATCAGGTTGAAGTTGTGTGACGCATTAGAATGGTAATTTGGCATCCCCTAGTGGTGATATGGGGTTAGCGCATCTAAAAACAGCTCAGTCGCCACAAACACAAACTGCAGTTGTAAATGATCAGAATTATGAGCGAAGAGGCTAATCCGTGTTTCTCCTGAAAAACGTTTAGTTTGGCTAGAAATAGGATGAAATAATGATGACCTATTTCCATTTTGGACACGTTTTATTTAAATCTTATGTTTGAGACCAATGTTTTAGTGTTAGGGTTAGGGTCACCCCTAACCCTGCGCTTTTCTGGGCTGAGGGCTGAGGGTAGGAAACATGGTCATCCAACCTGACCCCGCATAAGCAGAGGAAAACAGGTGAGTGAATAATCCTTCCACACAGAGGTGCAACTAGATATTTTGGGCCAAAAATGAGTCTCAATCTAAAGGTTTGACTCAGCTGCTGCTTACTGCTTCACGAAAGTCTTGTTTTTATTTCATATCTTGCTTAAATTGATCAAGAGTTGTGAAAGTTTGGCACATCAGTGACAGATGATAAAAAATCAACCTTATTTCAGCTAGGTTTAAAATGCTTTAACATTGGTATTTGTTCACAACAGGTAAGTCAAGTGGGGCTTCACTCAACCGGGGAAGGAAATGTTACTCATTGATTTTGGTCAGTATGAAGTGGAAGCTGTGTGCTGTAGCCTCACCAAGTCATGAGCTGTGGGTATGGCGCAAGGAACAAGATCAGAAGGAGTTCTCTTCACACTAAAAACACATCATTAGAATCCTAGCTGGTATGACATTTGTAATAACTGGTCACGTCTGCCAGTCATCAGAGGCAACACGGTCACTGACGTGACGTTTGAGTGGATTCACTAAATTCTCTTAGAGTTCTGGATTTGGGACCAAACAGGTCTTGTATAAATGGGCCACTAAGAACTGTTCGCTTCCATGCAAAGTTCAGCTCCGGATAAAATCACGGTCAGGAGCCTTGGTAGCAATACATAAATACACATAAAACAACCCGGTTACACAGTAAATGCACTGTACCTGTGTAAAAAATGTTGTCTATCACACCTATGATGTATTTAGTCACCCAGGCACAGGATAACCAGCGGTATGATAAGAGGCACCACAGAGGAGCAAAGGCATGGACTTGTGGACTCCTCTCACTGATCCGGTCTGGTCACATGTCCTTGATGCTGTTTTTAAACCACAGTGATAAAACTTGGCTATGGAAGAATTGGTGCTTTAGAGCAGAAGACATGCAGTTTGTGTGTGATGTCACTGACCAGCCGTCAAACAGCTGATGTGCTGACTCATGAATAAATGTCCACTAACAGTAAGAGTTGAGACGGTGATTCCACTCCAGCAGTGCACCTTCCCTCCCTGATCACTGCCGTGTAGCAGCTTCTAAGTGACGGGGAAGGGAACATGTAGAGTAGTCCTGTCCACTTCTGTTTCAGGGCTGCAGATTGAGTCTGTCTGACGTGTGGATTATCCACGTTTCCTTTATGGAGTCATATTTTAATCCCTGGGCTGAACAGGTTGTTGCGATTGATTTCCTGTGTGATTAATCCAGACTAAGACTCCATAAGAAATGCATCTTTTCAGGACAGAAAATAGGTCAAGTGTCCAGACAGCACCGTCTTGACCTGATGCCGTTTCCATGGCCTCATTTGCATTTTTGACTTTAATAATTACGTGCCCAATTATCCTCTGCTTGGTGGCCTAGTTTGCATGACTGCCCTTAAATCGGGCTGAAGCAACAAGAAAAGAAGAAAATGCTTGTTGAACATCAGAGCTGAGTTGGAGAGCCCAGCAGAACGTTGTACGACTCAAGATTCACTCAGAATAAATTAGAAATAACAGCTGTTGCCTACTTTAGGTCCTGTAAGTAAAAATCACCTGACTGTGCTGAGCTTAACCCATCATCGAGCCTAACAGGTGATCTTTTAAATGCCGTCTCCTCTGGTCTAATGACGTTCATCCTCCTTGCTGAATATAAGAGTCCATCGTATGTTTTAGTGTTCATTTACCCCCCAGATAATCTACCATGTTGAATCAGGAAACGCTCATGAGGACCAGCTGCTGCAGGCCTACCGACACTGTTGATGCAACCTTTGGTCCCTCAGTTGTTCTTCCTGTTTGTCCTTCAGCTGTAAGACAGTCACGCATCTACTTGGCAATAAAGTTGTTCAATTCCATTTTATTCATGAAGAATTAATCTGATGGTTTTTTGGACTAATAGGTAATCAAAATGAAGTTGAAAGCAAAGGTGCACCTGATTTCATTTGCCCTGAAGCAACAAAAGCCTTTTTAGCCCAGCCAGCCATCGTTCTGTCTATTCTACACCGAGGTCGAGTCTGGTGGGCCGGGCTGGAGCGTTTTACCTCAGCTAAGGAATCAGCAGCAGAACAAAGATGCTTTTCCTAAAAGAACACTTATAAAGAACCGTTTTCTGTAATCACAAACTGTAAAGGCTGAAACATCTGGCTTTGTATGGAATGAGCCTCACATTAGTTTCACCATTTAAGATGAATTACTCAATTAACTTTTGAACCAGACTCTTTTGACATTTCTAGAAGTAGGCAACGGCGTCTCCTGCAGGCGTTTGATGTAGATCCACGTTTAGTTTTATGTCCAGTTTTTCATTAATAAGTAATTTAAGGCTTACTTGAGCTGAGTAATGAATAAAATAATCACCATAAAACAATAAAGCATCTTATAAATAAAAAAATCTATTTTGTATCCCACAATGTTTTAACCATGTCCTCATAAGTTTGCTCTTTCCTGGACAAGAGTCATGAACTTATACTGAAGGTTTTTAAATAGTTGGCAAGAAGCCAACTTCATTTCATCCACCTGTGTGTGCGCGTGCATGCATGTGTGTGTGTGTGTGTGTGCGCGCACGTGGTTATTAGTAAACCATAACTAGAAATGTCGTCTCTGCCTGAACTCAGCTTCGTTGGCCTTAACCATTCATGTTTGCTCCACAGACGGGCAGAACAAGCTTCCATCGACACCAAAGTCAGATTTATTGAAAACATCCAAGAAAAAACATCTACTGCAGACAATCAAGTGTTAAACCAGAATTGTGCACACATCTACAAAAATATCTATTTAAAGCAGTTTCATTCTTCCTCTGAAGGCGATCCAATGCAGCCATAAAACATCTCTGGCCTCAGACTAACAACAAGCCTGGTGAGAAAACGTTCAACAGCCCGAGGCAGATTGATGAGGACTACCCAGTGGGGAGATGGTGGATGGTGAGAGAGAAACAAACAGCACCAGTTTCCTGCTCTTGTTGAGTTTCAACAAGTATTCAGCCGATCCCGTCACACTCGGTTTCTCGTAGAAACCAGCTTCAACCAGGTCTCCGCTGTTGGCTCTGTCAACTGCTGAGGTGTGTTTGATCTGATGGCTGTCTTTAGGAGACATGTCCCTAAAACCAGTGAGTGTTTTGTCCCCGTTTGTCCTACACGGGTTATAAAGATGCTGGTTCCTGAGCAGCATGACCTCAAACTTCAAGGCAGCAGAGATTTAAACATGACGTTTACATTCCAAAACAACGATTAGGGAATGACTTTTGTCCTCGCTGCTTTGGTCACAACTGTCAGATTTAGATGATGCATCCTGAAACCCGGTGATGAAACGGGTGAAGCTGGATGAACAGTGGTGAGTTTTTCTGCATCAGAGCCTCTTCTGACACCTAAAAGCTCAGCTCTACTCCTGCAGTGTGCTCTTCGTCATGAAGTGCAGTCCTTCGTCCTTCAACCGGGCCAGCACAGGTCCATAGACCTCCTTTGTCATGGGAACCACCAGGCCCTTTGATATAATTTCACCTATGAAGAGTAAAAAAGATATTTGGGATTATTGGAGTTCAGCTGTTCAGTTCTGGATCAACAGTCAACCAGGTACTGGTGTGTTGGCGTTGGGTTACCATAACAACGTTATGCTGCTGGAGGTGCAAACACACCAGTTCCAGTCCACAGAAGCATTAAACCACAGTCATATCAGCAGGAAACACGTCAGATGGGAATTAACAGGTCCTCCTGAAGACGATCCTTACAGGTAAGATGTTTTATGTAAAACTCACATTTTATATGCTTTGTGCTGCCATGTGGGTCTCTACTGCCTCCATAAACACTCCATAAGTAGAAAAAACCTGTCCATATGTTCTGTCATAGGACGGCGGAAAATGTGGGTAATACTGCTGCCACTGTGTGCCCTCCTCTCCCAATGATTGGACAGGAATTCAAGAAACGTGATTGGTAGCTAAGACTCGTGCTCTCATTGGTTCCACCCAAGTTCCTCCCACCGACGCTAGAATTGAGACAAAATGATCTGTAACACTGTAGATTTGAGGTTTGTACCTGTAGAATGAAATGTGTGTTTTGAGAGTTTTGATTTCAAACTTGTACCTTGATTTTTTTATTTTGGAAGTCTGCTAGTTACAAAACGAAAGTTTCATGTTTCTGAATGAATGTTTGATGTTACAAAATGAGTAGTAAATGTACAAAATAAAAGTTTGATTTTACAAAATAAAAATACATGTACAAAATACAATGTTCCTGTTACAAAACAAGAAATACAAGTACGAATTGAGAATTACAAGTTAGAAAACTAAAGTTACGTGTGATGAAACATGTTCCAAGTTACAAAACTTGGTACAAGTTACACTGAATATCGTCCCAATCCCAGCTCCATACTAACCAGGCATGTTTTGTGTGCAGTTTTTATTTTCTAATCATCCAGGGCTTATTAATGCTGTGTCAGCGCTGTTCTTTTCTTCTAAACATGCAAATTACCGGTAATAACGTGTCAGTGCTGTTTTTATTTTATAACCATCCAGAAATATGAATGCTATCAGCGCTGTTTTATTTTCTAAGCTTGCAGGCACGTTCACCAGTGTTTAAAATTTGTTTTGTTGAATTAAAACAACAACGAAAAACCTCCGTGTAGCGTCTTTCTGTCTAATTATTTTATGTTATGGCCGTACATGCGCTGTGCGCCGGAGACCTGCATGTGGCTGCTGCGCCGCGGCTTGTATTCGAGTGCGGTGTGTGTGTGTGTAGAAAACCTTTTTTTTTTTTTGCTGGTGCGGCTTATATTGAGGTGTGCTCTATAGTCCGGAGATTACGGTATATCCATGCAGACTGCAGCTTTTAGTGGACTTTTGACCCTCTCTGTGCTGACCAGTCAGGTGTGATCTGCAGCTTAATACCAGGGTCATTAGAGCCAGCAGGTGTAAAAGTTGGCTATGTTCTCAGGAGTTTGGACTACATGCAGCAGTCTTCTGCAGACTCACCATCTAGGACCATGCGGGCAGCAATGGCTGCTGGGTATCCTACAGTCTTGGCCATGGCGGAGAAGCCGTTGGGGTCACCGTAAACCACCAGACTGACGTGTTTGGTCTCCAGCTCACCAGTTGGGTGTCGAATCCCCACATCGTTTCTCATGATTATCATGTCTCTCTCGCCCTTTTCTGCCCACAGGGGAGAGCAGGTTAGTTGGTGTGTGTGTGTGTTTAGTGTGTGTCCTTACACTATCTGAGCTCACCAAAGGAAAGCCTGTTTTCCAGATGCTTGGCTAAAGCAGCCAGAACGCTGTCAGCATGAGGCACAGCCTCGTCGCTCAGCATCCCAAACCTGTTGAAAGATTCAGAGAGGAGACTGTTTTTCTCACAAACACACAGAGACCTCAGAAGAATGGCTGCTCGGTAACTCAGCTGCTGCTGTGGCCCACACGTCCTTGGAAGAATCTAAAGAGAGGAGCAGTTGCTTTTTGTGGCTGCTTTGCTGGTGAATTGAATAAACGATCAACAAGTCATTCAACTGAAGCTGCGAGTCATTGGCTTTTTACTCTTTGAAGGCACAGATAAAATGTTTCCAACAGGACCACTTTTCTCTGATAGGAATTTACACGTCAATGCCTGCGTGGCCTCTTCTCCTCGCCCTCAGCAGCAGAGGAACAATGGCAGTGAACAGCCTTGGGCTCAAGAGAGCCTCAGAAAAGTTAATTTAAATTTAAGACTGCACTCACTACACCACTTCAGACGGCCTTGCTGGTGTAACAAAGAGGCGCAGCTTCCGCCTGGCTTCCTGGGTGCTGAACATGTTCCACCTGAGAAGCTGAGCTGAGCTGAGCTGAGCAGCATCTGGACCAAACCATTTCAGATCAGATACAGAAGATCCTTCAAGCTAACAGACATGAGACAGAAACAGAACCTTTTCACTTTTGTTTCACCTGAAACGGGCAGGATCTGGGAAAGAGTGTGAAGTAAGATTAGAGCAGAACGTTGTGTGAGGGTTACGGTGTTGTCACACCAGCCTTTCTGACTTCAGCGTCCTATTATTTTAACACGAGGCATCATAATGGTTACTGAAGACTCTGAATCTGTTTTTAACACTGATGACAAAGAAGCTGGATGTGCAGAACCTAACATCTATTTTCCTTTTTAATCCCTAAACAGATAGGGGCGTTTCCAGGACAGGCTAAATGTCAATAAAATGTAAAATCAGATAAAGGATGCTTGACAGGACCGGTGCCCTGCTGCATCATGGGCCTTGTAGTGCTTAAAGCCTACAGAGCCCTGAAATCCACAGGCAGACAGCGGAAACCCTGAGGAGAACCTTCACTCTGGACCCGTACCATCTAAGGGTGTCCATCCTGAACTGGTCCCGTTGGACCCGCTCAAACACAGCTTGTTCAAACGTCTCCTGGGAGACAGAAGAAGACAAACCCATCTGCTGACAGAGAAGATCTTTCTGTAAAGAAGAAAAAAACAGAAAATCTTTCACAGCTTTAGTCCTCCCCTAAACACCTCTCCTGGCTGCTCTTCAGCTCCTACTCCATGTTTTATCTTCATTTCATAAAGTGCTTCCTAACTCCTCTTGTTTACCTAGAGAATCTCCACAGCTCTGGGTTGACATCTTTAGAGTCTGTTACTCCTTTCAGTTTGCTTCTCATCCCTAATTAAAGCTTGTTGAGTGTTTTCACACATGAGAGGCAGCCTGTAAACATCGTGAACAGGCAGCGCTGGAGCGCTCTCAGAGGCATAAAAGACAACAAACACGGTAAACTCGTCAGTGTCAGAAAGCCTCGTGCCACCACGGCCTTGACTGACAAGCAGCTATTGGCAGAAACTCCACATTTACAGGCACTATTAGCAGTTTGATGAAATATAATTTAACCTGAATAAAACAGCTAGAAGAGTCTGAGTGTCGAGCTCAGAGACTTCTAAACAACAATCACTTAGCGGTGCTTCTTACCCAGGAGACAGGAGATAAGGAGGCCTGCAGGGCCGGACGGGGCTCTGTGTTGATCAGTCCCAGTTTAATAAACCCACTGAGTGCACTGGCGAAGCCCTGTAGGACAGAGCAGAAGCTGCAGTCAGATAGTCCGTTACCTCCCACATCATCTTGATCTGGCTCACAAGAGCCTGACTGTAGCCTTAGGGCTAATTCTGGCATATCTTCATGAATGTGCATCGTCCTCTTCTGGCTCAGAAGATCAGAAGAGACAAGTTAAATGCTAGCTCAGCCCAGCTTCTCACTGGGCTGTGGCTAGCTGGGATACGCAAAACTGAAACAGGAATCACACTGAATCTGCATTTTACATTTAGGCCACTAATTCCAGTCAAACATGTGCAACTGGAGGCCAACAGACATGCAAATGTTGTAATTAAGTTATAAAGTCTCATAAAGATGTCCGACAGAGTTTTTTTTTGTTTTTTTTACAATTAGTAACTTGAGTCTCTGTACAACAAATGAAGCTTTGTTGGGTCTCACAATGGCAAACACAACCCTATAATTAAGCTTACACTAGAAAGAATGGTTTGCCCTGTCCACTCAGCCTGGACATCAATATTAAAGCCACACTTTGCAACTTTTTCATATTTTTAAATCATTTTCTTGAGCCAGTATGTGCTAAAATGATGCTTTACAGGGTTAACGAACGGCCACTCGGACCCATCACCCCCGTGGCCAGAATGTTCCACTTGAACTTCATACTGGTGAGCTGCTCTGTAGAGAGCTGACAATTGTGCCGTCATTATCACTTGTAAGTGGCTTCGGACAAAAGCGTTTGCTAATACATAAACATAAACAATGGAGCTAGCAAACCTGGCTGGTTCCAGCAGTCTCCTGCATGTTTTTGATCATGGCTATTCAATTCTGGGCCTTAAGGGCCGGTATCCAGCACATTCTGGTTTTAATCCTGCTTCAACACACCAGAGCCTGATGAGCTGCTGCACAGGTGATTCAACCACTGAATCTAGTGTGTTGGAGCAGAGAAACCACTAAAACGGGCTGGACACCGGCCCTGCTTTAGATCATGAACAAACCTGATTTGTTTAATTTAATGATTGCTCTCTCATGTAGACACTAATAAAAGCTGGGAGAAGTTTCAGCTGTTAGATTAAAGTGTTAAAAACACAAACACACAGCGAGGAGATAGGTTTTGGTTTTGGTTGTACAAATGGACACTAGGGGGTGCTAAAAGCAAGCCAAAACTGCCTATTTCCCCTTTAAAGTCCCATCAGTCATCATCACACATGACCTATCCCCATGGGGGGCGGTGAGCTGTAGACACAGCAGCGCTCTGGAACTATTTGGTGGTTACCTGCAAACTCGGAGGGTGTGAAGGGAAAAAGGTGACGACTACCCCACAAACATTAGGTTTTAACTAGGTTAAATACTGGCAGTGTTCACTCTGAACTCAACTTCCCAAAATAAAAATAAAATATACACGACGACCCTCGGAAAAACATATAAAGGCAAATCTGCTGAAGTCCTTGACAGGAAACTGTTATTTAGTGGCGATTTTGTTCGATTTGACAAACTTAACTTTAAGCTCAAAACCGCTGTGAAAAGTTAAAGCGACAGGACTCATACTCAGTGCTGCTCTGCCTCTTCATCTGTAGCATCACAGACATGAGTACGTAAACATCCCATTGGGCTCTGAAGAGTGAAACAGCGTTGCCGCCATATTGGATGGGTTTCCTCACTCTCCAAAGGCAATGCAGAGTGGGCAACTATAACTGTTTCTGTGCAGCCTATGGTTGCAACAACTGGAGCACTAATGAAAACAAATCATATGGGATTACTATTGACACTTCTAGCCTACCTGAGAGGATTTTCGATTTAAATTTATTTTTATATATCATATTTTAATTATCATGCCATGCCTTGTGTCTGATTTAGTGAAAAAGCTTGATAAATTGATTTTTAGTTGGGTAAGCACTTTCCTCAGCAGAAATGAATGCACAGGGAGCGAATGGAGACCCATCTAAAATGGTGCCAACCACTACAGCAGCTCCAAAAGGCTGCGCCAGTCCAGGGGGGCGTGCAGCATGACTGTGTTTGGTCAAACGACGACACACTAGAACAAAGATTGTTTGTGAACAAGAGAAGTCTCATAAACCCGATAAACCACGTTGCTGCCAAAACACACCACACACAGCTGGTGTCCACCTGGGTTAAGGCTGGTAAAATACGTGCATCTGTACATCCTTCAGACATGAAAAACCTGCCATTTATCCACATCTAAAAACACAACTTATGTTCCTAATTCTAACGGTTTTCTGGGTTGAGTTTCTGCATCAGCGGCCCTGAACCTTTGCATAGAGACCTACTGTGGTTTTGTTTAGCTTAAATAATTTATAAAAGTTCTGACCTTGTAGCGTAGGGTTCCTCTGATTAGTGTGTGTGCAGTCTGGATGCCGTAGGGCTCAGCATATATGGTACTGTCACGGTTTGGAAACCCTTCCAGGTTAAAACCAGGGAAGAAATCCATCGGTTTGGCAAAATCCATCAGAGACCCACCAGCTGGTACGTTCACCACCTAAAGGAGACGAAAAGCCTCAGACAGTTCTAACAAATGGCATCCCAACCAAGGACACAGAAAACAGCGTTAATTTGATAATCGTAAGGTTTCAGTACCTGGTTGTCTTTAAGGAAGATAGCAGGGTTGATGGTGTTTAGGAGTACACCAGAAGGACTCCAGCTGAACTTGTAACGAAGAGGATTGTCTGAACATTCAGGAGCAGGAATCCCACCACAGAATGAGATGTAGGACTCTACCTAAACATCACAGACCAGAATAACCAGCCGTTAACCAGGGTGAGAAATGTTCAGTTTGGGCATCAACAGCACAGTGTAGCTGTGCGTGATGGTCACATCACAGGTCCTGCTGCGATGTCGGAGGCAAATGGACCAAACGTGTTCTCATCTAATGTTCGGGGAACTCAACACGCAGTTGTTCTCCTTTGGTTTGAAGAAACAAACTGCTAGGATGGGTTTCATCACAAAACCCAATCTGTCATGTGACATTGTTTTCTGAATTTCACTGAATAGTATTTGAATCAATCAAAAACATGTTAGGATGTTAGAATCATAAATCCTAACCATACATTTTGATAAGAATTTAGAAAATCATTAAAAATAGACAACTGTGATTAAAAAATGTAAAGAGAGCGAGAGAGAGAGAGAGAGAGAGAGAGAGAGAGAGAGAGAGAGAGAGAGAGTAAATAGGAAAGAGGGAAATCAGTGGATCCTGAGGAAAGTGGAATAGGTAGGGAGAGCAGAACAAGGAGAGGGTCATGAAGGTCCAGGTCGATGGACAAAAGTGAGAGAATGAGTTGTGGTGTCAGAAGAATCTGTGGAGAGTAGGGCAGGTGTCTCTGTGAGAGAGCTAGCTAGCTTAAATTCATGTGCTAACATCACAATTGCACAGATTACTGTCATGTACCAGACAATTAAAAAATATTACTGGTCAGTTAAAATATTGATTCTTGACAATAATAAACTATAATGAGCATTTGTCAGCTGTTTCATACTCGTTAATATCTGTTTACATAACGTAGAAAGAAAGAAAGCAATATTTTATATAGTGCCTCTCAAGATAAAAACCATTAAATATAAAAATGATTTTTTTTTTAAAAGTTAGCGCTTTAGAGAGAGGGACCATACTGGTGAGGGTGGGCAATTCTGAGCCGGTTCCGACCCAGAAACCAGCTTCCCTGGCCCGCTAAGAATTTTTAAAAGCTTTCCATCCTCTTCTGGAGACCAGCACGGACCTCCCTGAGCTGGCTCCAATGCTGATCTGGGCTCCAGAGTCTGTGAGGTATTTTTTAGTGCCTCTCATCCGGTTCTGGAGGATAGGAGGCATGTTGAACTCCCATCACATCGCAGGGATTGTAATGCTCCTGTCTGAAGTGTGCACCACAGACCGTGATTTCAGCTGCACAAAAGTCACCAGAAATGGTGCCGTTCTTTTCCCTATTTGTAAACCCGTTGACTCGATGTCCGGAACCACTGGAGTTCTTACAGCCTCCACAAGATTAAAATTTTTTTAAGAAAATGCAACGCAATCCAAAACTAGTGACACACACCAACTTCATAACACAACATTTCTACCCAAAAACTACCAACGTGTCACACTGAGCTTGAGGCAGAACTAGCTTATAACCCCCCCATTGTTACATCAGAGGTCAAGATAATTTAAACTGCTTTTTTAGAAGCTTTGGTGAAAAGGCCACATTTTACTCAAAAAAGGGAGAGGGTGCTCGCTGCAGAACCACAAAGGTGGAGCTGCACCAGAGTGAAGCTTGGGGTGTTTCTCAATGCCAAGGAACCTCGCCTTGATGTCTTGGTCTCGCCCCAGTTGCCTAGGAGATACATAATCAGGAGCCACCAAGTTGTGTTCCAAAGTTCATGTTCTACCCTTCCGAGGTGTGTGTTCTCCGTTTAGCTAGCTGAACAAGGATACACGGGAGGTGCCTTGGTCAAAAATTACACAGAATACACCGCAGCATTTTTAAAAGGATGGTGGATCAGAAGCCGGCAGCTACTTCGTGGGCAAATTTAAAGTTGAAAATTAAGACAACTAATTTAAAGTTTTTTTTGGTTTTTTTTTTAGATCCAAAAAAGTTATCTATGGTTGGTTAGTTGTTTATTAGTTGCAGCTTCTGTGGCTAGCGGGTAGTAACTCACTTATATATTTAATTTAATAAACATATACAATTTAAAAAGCAAAAACTTGTTATATATTTATATTGAAACTAATACGTATAAAGTATAACGTCATCTCCCATGTCACGGGACGTTACGTGACTGCCGTGGAAGCCGTGGTCACGTGATGCAAGTCTGTTCCATTTAACTGTTTTACTTCAGCAAAGTGCACTTAGAGAAAGTGTGCAGTAGGGTTCGAGTGCGTAGTACACAAGTGTGAAAAAAATTGCAGAACTGAGACTGGGAGCATTGCTTCATCGATTGCAACGCATGCCAGGATGCTAATCCCTGTGATTCTTTTTTTCAAAAACCTTTATTAACAACTGTTAAACAAACAGCCAAGCAGTTACTTGAAATAAATTTACATTTATTGCTGCTTTGTCTAAAAGTTTTAGAGAATCAACTAATCATCCCAAAATTAACTAATTTCATTAGAAATAACATTTTTAGAACAGGAACTTGAGCCTTTTCTCCTGCAGCAATGACTTGTGGGTAATACCCTTGCTCGAGGTCTCTCGGGGAAGGGAGCTGTAGTTTTTGAGCTGGACTAGTTCCTACGTGGTCCAGATGCAAAACAAATAGGCCTAAACAAATAAAATCACCTCGACTTTTATATCTGGTCTTTGGAACTTCTAGAGGGTTCTGGTGTGTGGACCTCAAGGCTCAGGTTGGAGCCTCAGGCTTTAACAGTTCAGTAATATAAGGAGGAGCTTGAGCAAGTTTGTTCCGGCTTTTGGAGAGTACAGATGCTTTTTTCCTCCTCTCCTCCCTATCTTATCCAAGGCTCTTTGTCTGTCTTTGGGTGTACGGCACTTCTACATTTTTTCCGGAAACTGGAAATTATTAAAAATGGACATGGTCAGTTGGTCTCTCAATGCGATTGACAAAATTTTCTCAACGATGAGAAGGGGCTCCCGGGTGCCCCTCTGGGACACAGCTGGCTGGGCATATCATGGACTCCTGGAAACAGTGGAACCTGATCTGCCTTCCTTAACTGTCTGTGGAGGACTCTGAAGGCGTCTGGATATTCGTGGTGTTGGTGTCTGGTTTCCTGCTTTTTGGCCTGGGAGGTTACCTGGCTTACTGGAAAATTAACGAGCTGTCAAGGAATACTGGCTCTTTCCTAGAGCTCAGGGATGGATTACACAGCGCTGTGAACGCACAGACTCATATAATTGTCGAGATGAGTCGTAAGCTTGGAACTTTGGCTGAGATTCATGCATTGGCACAAAAGATGAATGCGATCAAGGAGCGAGTAGACAAATCAGCACGGACTGGGATAGATTAATTACGCCATTATTGGATTTTGAGAGGTTGAGGACCAGCAGAACTCTAAGACAGAGAAGAAATGTTCTCTGTCTGGCCCCAAAACAATTTCTTATCTGAATCTGGTGCCCTTGGGCCTGTGAGCCCCCCCACCGAAGAAATGTGGAATGCTGCCGTCGCTATGGCGACTGTCTCCCTATCCCAGCCTGGGCGGGACTGCGGGCTGTGAAGGCTGCCGAATCATTCCAGGAGTCACCGTGCCCTCTAAACCCAACGACCTCCTCCCCCTGTCCAGACTGAGGTGACGAGCGCTGCTTGGCTGCAGGAACTGACGTGTGGAGAGTCCCAAACCCTACCACCCAACCTAGTTGACACTTATGTTGTGATGTCTGAAGTCTGTTGCATTTCTGTCTGAGGTGTTTTTTGTATAGCAAAACTGCCCTCCCTGTGGAGGGTAACTCTGAAGAGCCTTTTTTTCCTCCACCTGACTCAATCCTCATGTAAACTCCTCTGATCTCTATTGAGGTAGCGCGACTTGGGTTGCGAATGACCACAGTCACCAATTCTTGTCATGCGTCTTTGCCTATGTATGTCTGATCTCAGAAATGTGTGTACTGAAACTCTAATTTCCCTCTGGGATTAATAAAGTATCTTTGAATTGAATTTGAATTGAATGTGGAGCATTGAAAGTTATAGTCAGGACTCTAAAATGAACTCTAAATTTGACGGGTAACCAGAGCAGACATTAGAATAGGAGTGATGTGTGCTGTTCTGTTTGCTCCAGTTAGAAGCCTCGCTGAAGAGTTCTGGGCCATCTGAAGGCAGTCAGGGGCTTTTATGTTAAAACGTGTGAAAAATGTTTTACAGTAATCTAGAAGGAAGAAGATAAAGGCATGGAGAACCATTTCAAGTTTATGTTTTGACACCAACCTTCAGAGTTTGGAGATATTTCTTAAGTGATAAAAACTGTTTCGGACCGACGTTTTTGAGAGGCCTTTAAGAGACATTGATTGGTCAAAATTAACTTTAAAATTCCTCATATTTGACTTGACGGCTGAAGATAAATGACCACGTTTTTGACAAATCAAGGGAACCATGCTCTCAGGGGAAATGGTCAGACATTCAGTCGTTTTAAAATTTAACTGAAGGAAGTAATCTTCTAGCCAGCTGATGATAGCTGATAAACCCTCTAGTAATTCAGACAGTAACTCAGAATCCTTGAAAGAGCAGTACAGCTGAATGTCATCTGCTTATGGGTGATAATAGACATTATGGAAATAATTAATTATCTGTCCAAGAGGGTGTATGTACAGTAGAAACAACAGTGCACCTAAAACAGAGCCTTGGGGTACCCCACAGAACAGATCGGTAGAATCTGACATGATATGGTTTCTACAGACGCTGTAACTTCTGTTAGAAAGGTACGATCTAAACCAGTCTAGAACAGTTCCAGAGATCCTTACCGAATCACCAAGTCAGTTAATTAAGGTGCTGTGATCAACAGTGTCAAAAGCTGCAGAATGATCTAACAATACTAACACCGTGAACTCCCCGTTGTCTGCAGCCATCATGATTTCACCACAAATTTTAAGAAAAGCTGTTTCTGTTGAATGCTTTTTACAAAAACCAGACTCGGATTTGCCAAAACAGTTGTGTAGTTCAAGAAAAGTAATCAGTTGATCTGCCACAACATTTTCCAATATTTTAGAGATAAAGGGTAATTTAGAAATGAGTCTGTAATTTTTAGGTTGAGAGTCCAAAACGGTTTTTTAAATATCAGTTCAACAACTGCGTGTTTGAAAACATATGGAACAGAGCCAGATTGTAGAGATAGACTAATAAAATCCACAATGCATGGGCCAATTTGGTTTAACATCTTAACGAACAAGGTCGTAGGAATAATATCAAGGGAACATTGGTTTGGATTGCCACTAAAAGTACTAGTAATATTTTTGGATTTATTTTTGTGTGTTTTACCTAATTTTCCACTAATCAACATCTCATTTCTCCTTAATTTTTTAATCCAAATAAAAACAAAAAGATGTTTTATTTATTTATTTCAAAAATAACAAATCTCATTTAGTGGATATTTAGAGAGGAGTAAAGAGATCACTATTACCTCTGAAAAAAGTTAAAAGAAAAATCTAATGTTGGAGTTCTGACATTTTTTCTTAGAATTCTAAAAAGAATAAGCAATCAATGATTCAATTAAACTATAACTGTTCTTTAATTTTCTTGAAAAGGGTTTGATTTGCATGGATCTGAAACAACAACCCCAGCACCTTGTCTGTAGAATCTTATTTGGTCTTCAGCATGATGAACCTGTCTAATTACTGGGAAACCTGCTTTGGATCAACATGTTATTTTGCCATGAGGCTGGGAAAAATGACTGAAAAAAATCACAGACTGTCAGAGTCGCCCTGAAAAGCTTTAAAGAGCAAATTGCAGGTTACATTTCTTTTTCTAATTCATATAAAATGCTGTCCAAAAATACAATTTGAAATGCTTATTGTGGATAATTTGTTTTAAAATACATAACAGCAATGTTTTTCTAGTAAAAAGTGGCCTTTCTCAGCAAAGCCTCTAAAAAGGCTCTTTTTTCTAAATCTGAACCTCTGACGTAACCAAAGGGAGTTAGAAGCTAGACGCTGCCTCAGCTCAGTGTGGAGAGTGGGTAGTTTTAGGGTACAGAGGTCATGCTATCCAGTCAGTGTGTATGTTTACTTGTGTTGGATTGTGTTCATTTTGATGAACTATAGTTTGTGGAGGCTGTAAAAACTCCAGCCTGTCCAGACATCGAGTCCACAGGTTTCCAGATAAGAGAAACAACGGCTATATCTTCGTGCCTGAGGGCGTTTTGTGCAGCTGAAAAGACGGACTACTGTAGCCCACATTGGTCGGTACCAGGACAGGGAGGTCAGCGCTGGGTGCTCCTGCCCCATATCTTCCCAAGGCTCACTGTGCAGCCTTTTCTGAGAATTAATCTTTGGATTCTCTCTGGAATTACATTTTAAAATGATGGATCTGGTCAACTCGTCACAGAACAACATTAATGAAATTTTTACAACATTCAGAGCAGAGAAGGGAGCTCCCATATTTCTGCACGGAACGCACCCGGTTGGACACATTTTGGATTCCTGGAAGTGGATCATCATGTGTCTTTCCCTTCTTTCCATTGAGGACCCAGAAGACATATGGTTTGGATTTATGATTTTCTGGTACCTGCTGATTTGAGCGGGCAGTTATCTGACACATCGGAAATTTCTGGAGCTGTCAGGGGCTATTAGAAAAATCCCTGTGCACTGGGAAGGTTACTGCCGTGCACTGAGCACTCAGATTAAGACGTTGAGCTGGACGCTCTGTGTAGCAACCTGGGGACAATTTTTCAATTCGCACACAGGATGGATACCACGATGGAGAATGCCACGGCAAGGCACGAGTGGAATTATACCCAATTATTTGGCTGATCGGATACTCCTTGAGGCCAGTAAAACTGTAAGGCAGAGAGCAAAACGTTATCTCTGGCCTTCTCCAAAACATTAAATGTTATCTAAATCTGACTCCCCGCTTGGCCTTGGCTTATGAAAACAAAACTGTTCAGGAGTGGCCAGTTGAGTAAACTGTTTGCTTATAGCTGCCACTTTGTCAGTGAAGAATGAGGCAAAGGTGTCATTCGATAGATTGTTGGTAGGAGGTGGAGATGGAGGGTTGAGCAGAGTTTTGAATGTTGAAAATAGTTTCTGAGAGTCAGTAGAGCTGAGAATTTTGTCAGTGTAGAAAGCTTTCTTTGCGTCAGTGATGCTGGCAGAGAATGAGGACAGTAATTCATGAAATTTCTATTGATCACCAGGATCTTTTGTTTTGCGCCATTTCCATTCCGCAGTTCTAAGATTGGTGCATAGAGACCAGAGGGTATCATTTAGCCAAGGGTGCGACTGAGAGGGTCTAGCAGGTCTAGTGGCTAAAGGGCACAAGTTGTTAAGACAAGAGCAGAAAGTGGAGCAGAGTGACTCGGTGGCATTATTCACTTCGTAAGCAGAGAATGTTCTGGGAGATGGAAGAGTGGAGGCAGCAAGAGAGGAGAGGAGAAGTGGTTGGGTGCCGGATTATATCTTTCTAGGCTGGCCTGGGAACACCCCGGGGTCCCACCCTGCTGGGGTGGCTGCCCACACAACGTTGACCCACATATGTGGAAGAAGCCCAGTATGAGAGGACTTCTCAGAAAGTTTGGTTGAGTATCATCAACCAAATCTGCCAAAAAAAAAAAAAAAGCACCATCTCATCCTAAATGAAAGGTAAGTGAGCTTGTGTTAGCTCATTTAAACAGAGTGACTAAGAAAATAATCATGTCAGTCATATTAAAGACAGTTAACTCCAGTTGGACTAAGTCAACAACAGACATCAGTTGTCAAAACATCATCCTCATCATCACTTGTGAATCAAACACACATGGTTAGGATAAAATAACCCATGTTCACACTAGATTTTCTGGAATAAATATGAAAGCTTTATGTGAAAATGTAGAGAGGTTCCTTTTACTCTTCACATGTGAGGTGCTTTATTTTACAATAATGATAAAACATAGAAATAAAAATAAAAGCATGCATAATATCGGGAAGACACAAACATAAGGGTTAGAAGAGAAGGAAGCTTTTGTATTTGGTGATATAACATGACTTACACTGCAGCCTTCAGCTTTGGACTGGTCGATGCACTCCATGGCCAGCATGTGGTCAATGCCTGGGTCCAGACCCATCTCGTTCACTATGGTGATGCCTGCTTCCTCCACACTGAGATTCAAAAGATTGAAAGTTGTTTATGTCAGATGTGCTGTAAGAAACGCATACAATCACATTTTTACCATCACGTTTACTGTTGCTGTCAGATATCTGTAACAGAAGCACCAGCCTTTATGACAGGAAGCAATAAAACATCAAGATACAGATTTACAGTCAGGTCCAGAAATATTGGGACATCAACACATTTTTAACAATTTTTGGCTCTATACACCAACACAATGGATTTGAAATGAAACAACCATGATGAGCTATAACTGCAGACTGTCAGCTTTAATTTGAGGGTATTTACATCCAAATCAGGTGAAAAGAGTAGGAATTACAACAGTTTGTATATTTTTCCTTCTGCTTCTGGAAGAGTGCTGATGCTTTTTTCCTCTTCTCCACTGATTGAGACGAATCACAAGCCGGATGCTCTGGACACTAATCTTGCTGTGATTCCTATATTGGCACGCAAAATGGATACCATCATTGAGAAAGTTACTGCATGGTATGAAGGGAATTAAACCCCAACAACCTTGAGACCACCAGAGACAAATGCAGAGAGGAAAACGTATCTCTAGCCTGTCCCAAAACAACCATTCTTATCTGAATCTGGTGCCCAAATAATTCAAAACCCCCAGAGAATGAATGCTGACAGACGCTCTGAAATCCTCCCTCCCATAATCCTGGTTGGACCTGTGACACACCCGGTTGGCCCGCGAGTGGTCTGGGTGAGACCACAAAACTGTCAAGAACTCATTGCACACTGCGTTCCTCAAATCTCCTTTACACCGCTTAGCAGTGGGGATTGAGGTGTGCACACTGGATGCTGCGCGCTCGCTCTGCTGCGAGAGGGATCCCAGACCCCATGCCCACCTACCTCTATGTGTGATTACTGTTGTCTTGGAGTCTGTGCTTGAATGGGAATTTGGAATGGGAAGGATCAGTTTGCAAATGTTTCTATTCCGATTGTAAAAACAGTCCAGACAACCTACCCAGACTGCGCCAGTCACGGGACTTTTTGGGCCCCTTCTATTGTGTTCTCGTGTTGTGTTCACCTGCTCTGAAGCTCCTTCATGCCAGGACTCAGGTAGCTGGCAGTCACCATGTTCACCTTCCTGTTGATGCAGTGTTTAGCAACGAGGGGGTGGAAGGAGTAAGGCAGCATGCTGAGGAATAGAGATTAGACTGATGATTAGCATCTGAACTAATTTAAAAGTCAATCTGTTGTTTTAAATCATAAACATCTATTTGGTGAAAAAATAATGCAGATCACACTTTTCAGTGTTGGAATAACTCTCGTAAGTTGTCTTAGCTGTGCAAAAGTCTGCTTAAACAAAAATCTGGCAGATTTCTGTCACGTCACAGGGGCAAGACAGTGGAGACGATCACTATCACCACAGCGTCCGCATAAAGCTCACTTAAGTATTGAAATCAGTCAAAACGGTAAAGGTTTATGTAAGCTGAGGTCGTTCCAACTACCTTCTGTCTGGACATGAGCTCATCCATTTCTATCTCGAGCGTGGGTGAGGTTTGTTCAAGTTGGACGGCTAGATTTCACCGCAAGGAGTGTATCTTCTAGCTCCGTAGTGTGTGGCGTGCATTTTCACAAGGACGACTACAATGAAAGTGACCTGAGTGAGCAGAAGTTGGGTTTCAAAAGCAAGGATAAGGTCAGGCTGAAGCCCCCCCCGCAGTACTGTCAGTACACAGCAGAGGCAGTCAACAGCGAGATGGACAAGAGATGAGACCGCGTCCACAACAGTGGCTACTCCTGGGGACAGCCGCAGCAGATTCAAGACTCCACGAGGAAATGCAGCTCAGAAACTTGAAGTTTGTCGGGTAATTATTACTTTTGCATCTACACATTTACTTCTGATATATTGTAGTAAAATAGAAGTGTGATTTTACGAGTTTAATTCGAAATCTCTCTGTGTTTATTACTGTTTACTCAGAAGAGATGCTCATTAGCATCTGGGTGAGCTGCTAACGGCTAATGTTTGTGTAGCTTGTAAGGCGTGGCTGGTGAATAAAGACAAAAAGTTAGTGCCCAAAAGGGAAATAAAAGACAGAGGGCACAGTAAATGGCATCGTTGACAATAAAGCAGTTCAGTCATGTATTTTGCTAATGTCATAGCTGCGCCGCTAGTAATGCTGCACAGGTTCTGACATAAGAGAGAGTAAGCTCCTGCTGAAACTCAGGGGAATAAAACAGCCTGGCCAGCCAGCCCCACGCTTCCTTATGGGAAGTCGTTACGTTCTCTGTGTAGAATTAAACAGAGGACGAGTCTGGCAGGCCAGGCTAGAATAAAACAGCCTGGCAAGCTGCTCCTATATACATACAGAGCAAGATCTTCTTCTGTTGCTATGGATGGTCTATTTCTAAACTAGAAAACTGATCTAATACTATACCTAGTGTCTACATTTTAGACTCAAATGTCGTCCATTTAGTTTCAGTAGGTTTTACAAGTTCATGCAAATGCCCTAAATTTTACATGGAGAAGGGGATGGATTACCTAATATTTGCAACGTTTAGAAAACTCTCCTTTGAAAATAATTGATTTAAAAGAATAGGAATTTATTCGGTTTACTGTCTGTCCTGCAGTTGCACAGCCGAGCCAAATGTACCTGATGACCAGGTCGTGATCTTTGACCAGAGAGTCCAGATGTCCCTTCTGGCTGCTGACATCCACCATGATGGGGATAGTGTTGGGATATTTGGCGGCCAACTCCTCTGCCTGCTTCAATAGCGATGATGCTGAATGGAAATAAATGCAAAGAGAATTCCTGACAGCAAATCTTTATTAGAACATTTCCACAGAAGCCTACTTCAGAAGATCTGAATGATCACTTTAAGGAGCTACATGATGTAAAATCATTTTTAAAAAGGCCAAAACATTTTTTCTAGAGTTATGCATAATACGCATGAATCTGGGTCTGTCCGGCTCTTTTATTAGCAGGAACAGCTACAGCAAGATTAGACATCCATGCATCTGTGGATGTTAAAGCAGAACTTTGCTCGACAAGTTTGGTGTCGTTTGTTCAGAATCTAATATTCAGAAGAGGGAAACTTCACATAAGAGTCATAAATCCTACAAGAACCTGACCAAAAGACCAGAGCAAAAGTTCATGGCTGGTGTTACAACAGACTGCCCGCTTAATGAGGAATGGAAAAGCCGTAAAATCTCATTTCAACGTTTGACAAACTTACCGACGGTGACCTGGACTTTCTCATTGCGTGTGAGGTACTCAACAACAGGTCCTGAGACATACCCCGAACCCAGCAGCAGAACACGCTTCATCCCACCCTTCTTCATGATCTGGGCCTTCTCCCTACACACCAAAGACAAGGAGCACAACTGTTGCAGTGTAAAGGGAAACTGGATCAACTCAGAGCAGGGACTATTTCTCACTGAGCCTTAAAGGAAAACACACATTTAAACAGACGGCGGAGGAAATTTAGATTTTTAAATAATTACAATTAACAACAATGTTTCATTTATCAGTTCATCTGAATAACGGATGCGCAAAAATTAGGCTCTGAAAATCCCAAGACTTAAATCCTGAAGTCTTTACAGTAAAATGTAACGATTCAGTCCAGCATCGCAACTGATGTCCAGATAAAAACTTCCTTTAGATGGTTTATGAAATGGCTTCAGCTGTTAGGAGCTGGTGAAGCTTCTGGTCAACCAGAACATGGAAATCCTGGTGGGCTCAGAAAAAAAGGCAAAAACCCAGAAAATATGTGATCAAACCATTATTAAGGAAAACCAGAACTCCAGCTCTTCAAAAACAGGAGACAACTCTTCAGGTGTACATGCTGCTGTCCACTAGGGACACTTTGGTGGGTCAGATAAGTTTGAGAAATGGTTAAAATAGACCATATTTGCCAAAATAGAAAACAAAATCAATATTTAACAGAGGAAATGATTATTTTGTTATTTACAAAGCAGCTCTAACTCTTACCCCAAGACTGTTTTCTTCTTTTTAAATGATGCTGTTGGTTATTGGTATTGCAATTGTTTCAAATTTTCTTTATTTATTACAGAAATATTATTATTACAGAAAGCCACACCTTCAGGAATGTGTGTGTGTCAAGACAAGACACGTTTATTTCTAAAGCACCTCAGCATGACAGCGGACCAACGTACAAAATAGTTAAAACAAAAAAAGTACAATTCACAAAACTAATAGAAAATAGCAAATAAATTAGTGGCAGAATGATGTAGAGCAGTGGTTCCCATATAGCTCCTTCTAGAGTCCCACAACCCCCTACGGTGCTTTACATCACAACCACTCATTCCCCCACGCACTAACACTTTCACACCCTAGTGGTGATGAACTACAATGTAGCCACAGCTGCCCTGGGGCACACTGACAGAAGCAAGGCTGCTGAACTCTAGCACCACCGGTTCCTCCAACCACCACCATATATCCCAATAACACACCCCATGGTATAATCAAAAGGACTTGGAGGTATATCAGTGGTTCCAGGTTGGGAACCGCTGATTTAGAGAATTACAAAAATGATCTCACAGCTTTGAAAAGACAATATCAAAAACATTACAAACCAGAAGTTATTTAAAACTAGCTATTGAAGGGGATTGGGGGAATTTAACTCAGGGACAAGAGAGGACTAGCTTGGGAGGGGACTTAACGACAAAGAGAAACCTTAAACCAAGCCAAGTCAAAAACAGGAAGACAGTGTAAATTGGCGAGTGCAGAAGAGATACGAGTGCGTCTGTCCGAGTCAAAAAATATGCTGCTGCATTTTGGACCTTCTTAATATGTGTAGCAAAGACCAGTTTACACCGAACAGAACTGAATTTGCATAATCAAGTCTGGATAAAATAAAAGCATGAATAACTTACTCTAAATTAGATCTTTTAAGAATGTGTTTAAGACAGGTAATGCGACGGAGCTGAAAATATGTGATCAAATGGTGGCACTAACGTAGAGACTTGGAAGGGTCAGAGACAAGCTTACCAGACTGGTAACACAGGACTTGAGCGCAGACCACAGACAAAGGGCCCTCATCAGGGAGGACACGGGGTTTGGTGTGGGAACTGGGCGAATGGAAAAGGTGTGTGCCGTTTATCCTAACTGTCAGGTTATTACTGTAAAGTAGTCTAAACTCTTTCAGTTAAATTCTGAAAAGTCTGACATGCAGCTTTACATTCAGTCTAATAACGTCTATTCAAAACAGAATAAAAATACTGATTTGATTGTAAAACTCTTTTTGAATTTAATAAACCGCTGTTGACTTGTATGGAACTAAATATCCATTCAAACTAATCAACTCAAAGTCTGTTTATGTCTGGCAGATAATGTTTTTAATTGGAGTTAAATGTGATTTGCACAGGAATACCTGCGGGAACTGCAGTGGGCGAGGTGCATTGTGGATAAGTTCTTAGTTATTTTGTTCCATTTTGGGGTGTTTAGGCGCATTTCTTTTGAGGGGGCTTGTGTTGTTCTTAGTTATGTAAAGGATGGGTCGTTTACATCTTACTTATGAACCATAAAATGTGAGATTCCATAGAAATATGAAATATCAATCTGATGGATCTTTGACTATTTTAACCAGAAGATCAGAACTTTTTATTGCAGGGATTAAGCGACACTTCTCATTAACCCCGAGGAAAGAGAGTCAGGTTTATAATAGTTAAGAAATGTATTTCTACACAATTTAAACAAGACTAACTTTAACACCCTGCGTACTGATGGACTAAGGAGGAGTGAGACGTAAAACGATGGTGTATGTGTGGAATGTTGTTATCAGAACCAGCGGATCCGGAGAAGCAGTTAGTTCTGAGTGGGAGTGAATGTTTCACTCTAAACTTTAGTAGGAGATTTATAACAAACATGAAACGCCATCTGTTGGTCTACGTACCCCAGGGGAAGCCTTCGTTAGATCCAGAATGCCGAGGTCCTCTTGGACCCTCTTTGGTACCGATGCCGGTAGAAAAGCAGCGGTGCCGGCCAAACTAGTCTTGGAATGCTTCCAGGTCACAACAGGTTATCACTGGCGTCTCCGAGACCCTGAAGGGGTCGTGAGGTTCAGCTTTTATTCTGAAGGAACCGTTGTGGTCAGATGTAACTTGCAACAGATTTTATCCAGCTTGTAGAGGTTCTTTTAGCTGAAGAGGAAGTCTGGGTGGCCTGTCCGAGACTTCTCTAGAACGCTTTAACTAAAGAAAAGGTGGCGTGGGATAGTTTTTATAGTTGTCATTTTTTGGTTTACTGGCGAATCAGAATTTGACATGCAAAAGAGGGTTAATACAAACACCACAGAAAACCACGCCTCGCACCAGAAACGAAGGTTCTGATTGGATCAGATAAAAGGAAATGTGTCGTGTGACTTTAGCATTACGTGTCTTTAGTGTCTAGTGCAAATGTCCAAGATTATAATAACTTGTAAAATACTGCTGATCACAGGATTATAATGTCAAGTAATAACATTGTCATTTCACAGATTGATTGAACATTGGGCTCACATTATTATTGGTAATAACAAAGTTGTTGATTATTTATTTATCAAGAGAGTTCTTGGTCTTCGTCTTGAGCTGTAAAAGGTGAAGCAGTTCAGATGAGCAGAGTGCATGAAAGACCTTGGCCAATATCTCATGTAGATTACCCTGTCAGAGACTTTATGTCTCTGCTCGAGCAGACGCAGCAGATCATGACCTTTAGGTCAAAAATAGGACATTCATCACGCTACACCTCATTCACTGTTGCAAATGTGGCATTACGAGTTGTGTCATGTTGGCACTGTAAGTGAGGAGGTCGATCAGAGGAATAAGACAGCTGTGCTGTTCCTGCTTTTCAATAGAAAGTGGTGTTTCACACTAAAACCTCTGGAATCAGCTCCTTGTATTTTGCTCTCACTTGCTGTTTGTAGGTGTATGAGGCATGAGTTAGCTGACATTGTTCAATGTTGCTGCAATAAAAATATAGTTTTCAATTCAATTTGTTTATTTATGGAGCGCCAAATCACAAGAGTTGTCTCAAGGCACTTCACAAAGTGGCCTCATTTATCAAGCTTGCTTACGCACAAAACGGGGTCGGAAAACTGCGTAAGCAACTTTCCACGCAAACTTTGGGATTTATGAAAGAAAACTTACACAAAAAATGTGCGCAACTTTCAGTTGACTAAGGACCTGGCTTACACACATGTTGGACATGGAGAGCACCTGCAGTGCTGCTGCTGAAAAGATGCAATTATGAAATCCTGCAGCATTATCACTTGTACTGCTTCGTTTTAACACAGAACAAGACCCTCCACACGCACGCACACTCACGCACACACACACAGCCTGAAACACAGAATACGGAATGCAGAAATCAGCAGGGGGACAGATTGAGACAGAACATCATGCGTCAGTGACAGTGTGTGTCCTGTTACTGTGACCCGATTGATGATCATGCACCCTGGTTACTCGTACAGAGGAGATCTCCGTTTGGATGACTGGTCAGCGTGCGTGACTTTCACCCGGGAGTCTGGGGATCGAATCCTGATTGGAACATTTATTTACGTCCGTCACAGATCTCTCTGAAGAACTCAGCATTGACGGCTTCAGCAACGCTGTGCCACTCTGTGGATTTTCTCTTATTTGTTTAGCAAAAGCACTTCCTTTCATTTCTCCACCTCACCCAAAAGTACCTCAATTTCTGCTTCTGTGAAATAGCGCTTCCTTGATCTGCCTTGATCTACGGTCGCCATGTCATTGGCGGAGCGCTGCAACAGCCGGCATATGTATACGCATGAGATCCACAAGGCACTTTGCATTGACTATTTATGGCAGTAAGTGGGCGTGGTGAGGGCAGGATGTGACTAAAATGCAGCTGAGAACCTTTCTAGATAGTTTCTGATTCATGAAGCGGAGATTGCGTACGGTTTTAGTAACAATTCTACACAATGTTTGATAAATGAGACCCCTGATCATTAAGCCAATCAGCAAAAAGTTCTCATACTAGGCACGCATGTAGCGACAGAGGAGAGGAAAACTCCCTTTTAACAGAAAGAAACCTCCAGAGGATCCTGGCTCAGTATAAGCAGCCATCCACCATGACTCACTGGTTACATTGATTATATGTCAACGAATTAGCTGGTGTCAATGCAACAAATGTAAATACATTAGCTTGGTTCAATAACAAAAACATGGTAGGTGAAGAAATTTATTTGGATCAAGTCAAATAATTAAGGTTTGGTTAAGTGAAGTAACATGTTTTGCATCAATATAAAAACAGATCATATTAAGTGAATACATTTAGTTTCTGTGAAGTGAAATATTTTGGATGTGAACACTGGGCATTAATGTTTTTATTTAAGTGAG